GCTTCTTAGAGGGACAAACGGCGTTTCAGCCGTATGAAAAAGAGCAATAACAGGTCTGTGATGCCCTTAGATGTCCGGGGCCGCACGCGCGCTACACTGAAAAAATCAGCGTGCATGTGTCTACCTACTCCGAAAGGAGCGGGAAACCGAGTGAAACTTTTTCGTGATTGGGATTGGGGATTGTAATTATTGTCCATGAACGAGGAATTCCCAGTAAGCACAAGTCATCAGCTTGTGTTGATTACGTCCCTGCCCTTTGTACACACCGCCCGTCGCTACTACCGATTGGATGTTTTAGTGAGGTCTTTGGACTGGCCAACGTAGCTATCCTCGTGGTGGCCATGTTCGGCCGGGAAGATGACCAAACTTGAACATCTAGAGGAAGTAAAAGTCGTAACAAGGTTTCCGTAGGTGAACCTGCGGAAGGATCATTATCGGTTTTCTTGAGCATTTATTTGCCCAAAAGAAACATTCGATTATCAATTCGAACGAATCGTTGCCCGTTATCACAAACGGATCGACTGGCAATTGTTGACATTGATGAGGTTATTGAAAGCTCTGAAATTGTATCCTGGTTTTCATGTTGGGCGACATGGATGAAAACAATGGGAGAATTTCTTAATTTAGGAGCTGGACCGAATCATGTTAACTTTGTTGGCGATTCTCCTTGATGCCTGTTGGTGCCTAGCCTACAGTTCCTGTTTGTCCTCGGGACAGATGTGGATGTAGTGTGTCGCTTTGTTCTTGAAACAAGTGCCGCTAGGTTTAAATACTGGATTCGTCATCGAACGGATGCCGGAGCCACAGGTTCGAGGTATTTTCTTTTTCATTTCTGAAAAACATTAAGCCAGAAACATTGATACAAAGCAAATTGTGATTCTGCAAAGAATTGCAAAAAACAAAAATAACTACTGCCAGTGGTGGATCACTCGGCTCGCTGGTCGAGGAAGAACGCAGCTAGCTGCGTTAATCGGTGTGAAATGCAGGACACTCCGATCACTCGACATTCGAACGCACATTGCAGCCATTGGATAGCCGATGGCTTCGTTTGTCTGAGCGTCGTTATCAAATTATGACCAAACAAAATGGGATAGATCTGTTTCGTCGTGCAAACGTCGTCGGATCATTTCCAAACATTTGATATGCTGACTTTTGTGGTGNCAAATTGTGATTCTGCAAAGAATTGCAAAAAACAAAAATAACTACTGCCAGTGGTGGATCACTCGGCTCGCTGGTCGAGGAAGAACGCAGCTAGCTGCGTTAATCGGTGTGAAATGCAGGACACTCCGATCACTCGACATTCGAACGCACATTGCAGCCATTGGATAGCCGATGGCTTCGTTTGTCTGAGCGTCGTTATCAAATTATGACCAAACAAAATGGGATAGATCTGTTTCGTCGTGCA